CTGGAAGTGCGTCCAGGCCGGGGTCACCTACCTCTTCGTGCAGCTGTGCAAGGTGAGGGCGCCCACAGCCGCTCGTCTGGCCCCAGGCTCGCAGACCCAGCTGCCCGATGGCGCGGTGTGGTCCTCGGCTCTCCCCATAGAAGATGGCCTTGGGAGGGTGGGACCTGAGGAGACGCCTCCAAGCAGCTCTTGCACAGCTGATTTTGTAAGATTGAGAAACTCGGTTATGTCGTGTGAAGGGGGTTTGTATGGTTAAGAACCACCAACCACCACCGGGTGCTGCAAATGCTGCTGGTGGCCGCCAGCCCAGCACCTCCAGGTCTGACCTGTGATCACCACCGAAAAGCCTCCCGGCCTCTTCCCTACATCTCCACGGGTCCTGTCATCTTGCCCCCTCATCTGGTGGTCCCTCTCCACATGGGAACCCCAGAACCACGTACACACTAACTTCCCACGCCTTGAGGTGACCTCTGTTTTCTGTTCTCAGATGTTGTTCCTGGCCACTTTCTTTCCCACCTGGGAAGGCGGCATCTATGACTTCATTGGGGTGAGTGGGGCGAGGAAGCGGGGAGGGAGTGCAGAAGTAAGGCCCCCTGGCCTCTGTACTTACTCGACCTTAACCCGACCCACAGGAGTTCATGAAGGCCAGCGTGGATGTGGCAGACCTAGTAGGCCTCAACCTTGTCATGTCTCGGAATGCCGGCAAAGGGGAGTACAAGATTATGGTTGCTGCCCTGGGCTGGGCCACCGCAGAGCTCATTATGTCCCGGTGTGTGCAGCAGCCTGAAGCCCAGATTCCTGAGAAAGGACACCTGGCTTTCAGAGAGGTTCTGGAGAGTGGGGGCTCAGATTCTGGGTGCTGAGGGTTTCTGGGTACTGGAGAATCCTTCCCTTTGCCTTTTTCAGTTGCATCCCCCTCTGGGTTGGAGCCCGGGGCATTGAATTTGACTGGAAATACATCCAGATGAGCATTGATTCCAACATCAGTCTGGTAGGCAGTGCTACTGTCCCATACACACCCTTCTGTTGGTGGCAGTACTTCTCCCCAATACTTGGCTCTGACTTCCTGCCTCCCTTCAGGTCCATTACATCATTGCATCTGCCCAGGTGTGGATGATAACCCGCTACGATCTGTACCACACTTTCCGGCCAGCTGTCCTCCTGCTGATGTTTCTCAGCGTCTATAAGGCCTTTGTCATGGAGTGAGTTGGGTGGGATTCAAGGATGGGTCCAAAAGGGGCTGGATGATCTGTTTTCCTTCTTTCATTGTGATGTTTCCCCACAGGACCTTCGTCCACCTTTGTTCCTTGGGCAGCTGGACGGCACTTCTGGCCCGAGCAGTAGTGACAGGGCTGCTGGCCCTCAGCACCCTGGCCTTGTATGTTGCTGTTGTCAACGCGCACTCCTAGGCTTGGGTCCCAGGCATTCACATACCTTTTCCTTGTCTCCAGGTTTTAGTGAATTAAACAGTATTTGGGAAGTTGTTTCCGCCTACATCTCTCTCTGGAGCTGTCTGCCAATGCCACACTCACCTGTGTCCCAGAGGCCCTTGTTCTGGCTTTGGAGCCAGGTAGACAGCCTGGCTTTGATTTGTCCTGTGTTCCTATAGCCGTTCCTCCGCTCTTTGTTTTTCCAGAGTAGACTGAAGGCCTTGAAGTATATAATATTTGAGCACTGGCAAATTAGAGAACAGGCGATAGAGGGAAGCTGGAATCCAAAGTTCTTGGGGACTTCTCACAGCCATAACTTGGCCCTCTACCATATGGGCCCTTCCCTCACTGGTCACCTCCGAAACCCCTGTCCCTAATCTCCTTTGATCCACCCTTTATATGGCAGCCGAGGGGATCTATCTGAAACCCAGTCTCACTAATTCATCCTCATTACAACCATCTAGAGCAGCAGTTCTCAACCTGTGGGTCGCGACCCCTTTGACAGTCAAAAGACCCTTTCACAGGGGTCGCCTAAGACCATCCTGCATGTCAGATATTTACATTACAATTCATAACAGTAGCAAAATTACAGTTATGAAATAGCAACAAAAGTAATTTTATGGTTGGGGGTCACAACATGAGGAACTGTATTTAAAGGGCCAGAAGGTTGAGAACCACTGATCTAGAGCTCCCCATTGCACCCTGGACCGTTGGGGCAGACTTCTGTGATTCTGAGTTCCTCAGTTCTGTGGCCCTCAGATCAAATCCTGGTCTGAGTCTTCTTAGGGTAGAGTTCAGAGACCGCTGCAGCCAAGCAGAGCATTTGAACCCCTAAATTCGGATATTGACCTAAATGCCACCCTTCCCACCCCAACCTTTTCTTGGTTCAGTGGGGTCAGCACCCTGTCCTATTTCTGACATCATCTCCCCCCGCCACACACCCTCCCCGAGGGATATCAGAGGCAGAGCTTTGAATTTCATGTTTCAGCTCCACCTTGTTGCAAATCCTGCCACCCAGGAAAGTGCTCCCCAGCCCTGGTTTTCCCAGTGGAATCCCCCAGGGTGTGAGACTGAGCAGTTGCCCCCTCCCTCACTCTACCAGTGGAGGTCCTGCCATAATGTTATTTAACCCTGGGCCTAGGAAAGCGTCATGCACAGCTGCTCAGCTCTGCTATGGCAGTCTTAGTGTTTTCAGAGTGAACATACAACCACTATCTAGCCCCATCCCCTTGCCCCTAGTCAAGACAGGGTCCACAGGTATCTTGGGAAGGAATGGGGAAGTTATTGATTGGTCACCCTGACTTTGACTTGAAAAGGGATTAGAGCAGGCACTCTCCCAGTCCAGGTAGGTGGATATGTAATGGAGTCACTTTCTCACCTTTATCCCATGCACCACCTAGCTCTTGACACGTGTTGGGACAAACGAAGTTTGCAGAAATTATTCAACAACTATTTGCTGAGCAGGGACTCCCAGGCCCCGCTTCTGGTGGCTGTCTATGAATTAATCCCAGCTTCCATGGGATACAGACAGACCAGAGTGGTTGGGGCTAAGGTTGTGGGGGAGGGGGTAGCACAGGCCAGAGGAATCAGGGCTGTGATGGGTGAAGCTTGGTCGGAGTGGTAGGACTGATGAGCTAAAATAGTGATTAGAGCTGTGATGGTAAAACAGTGGTGGTCCAAAGGAGCCAGACTGGAAGAGCTGAGACCTGAAAGATGAGTTAGTGAGGCAAAGAGGAGAAAACAGGTGTCAAGGCCTGTATAAAGGTCTTGAAGTCAGGGCCTTCCCTTTCCATCAGACCTAACTGGTTGGAACAAGTCCAAGGGGACTAGTGAGACAGAAATCAGGGTCTGGATCCCAAAAGGCTCTGAGGGTTGGGCTGAGGAATTGACCAGAGACAATGGGGAACCAGGGAGAGTTCTGTGTGAGGGGAAGACAGGGTCAGATTTGTCTTTGGGAAGATTTCTGTGGCCACTGTGGGTGGGGAGACTGAAGCCAGAAAATCAGGACTGGACCAGGACAGGGATGGCGGAAGTAGGAGAGTGGCTATAGGCAGAGTGGAGGTGGTGACCAACAGCCTGTTTTTTTCTGTGTGGTCGGGGGGATTGTGGAAATGACAGATGAGGAGTGAAGATCCCTTCCCAAGGTCTCATCACATTTTCCTAGGAGGAGGAACCTACTGATGGGACAGTGGATGGGAGCAGGTTTGGAGGGTGATACAGAGACCAGTGGGTCCTCTCAGACATGCCTGGGGAAACTAGAGACAGATGCAGGTAACACTGCAGAGACAACTGAGATGTGAGCAGGAGTACTGTGATGAAGAGGAGGGAGAAGCCGAGGCCTAGCCAGAGAGACTCATTAGAGAAAGGAAAAGAGACAAGAAAGACCGTGGCCAGAGGGAGGTGGAGGGCCCAGGATGGGAATTTCTGACAGTTGGAAGCTTAATTTTTAGGTGAGGGTGTAAGGAGGAGCCTGTGAGTTTAATCCCAGGAGTAGGTTGGGATGCCCATTGCTTTGCAAAGGAATGAATAAGTGGAGACAGTTGTGAAGACTGGAGGGCGGGGACAGCCTGAGGTGGAAAAGATTTTGACACCCTGTGTCAAGGAGTCTCCCCAGAGGGAGAGTGGGTGCTGAGAAAGAGCCCAGAGCCAGTGTTTAGGTTAGTGGAGTGGTTAGAGTGCTCTGGAGGTGCCTGTGGTCACATCCAACTCACCTTTAAGTGCTTTAACCCTAGGCAAAGAAATGGGACTTTATTTTCCCAAGGAAGGGTTATTGAGTGCCTACTATGTGCCAGGCTGTGTTTGAGGAACTGGAGATAGAGCCCTGAACAAATATCCCCTAAGTTGTAGGATTGTGGGACCAAAGGGGCTCATGAAAACCACTTAAGACAGTGCCACACCAAATTAAAAAGCAGTCCCTGTGAGCTGGTTTATTACTATTACGCAGACACAAGTGTGTTTTAAAGAACAGGCCCTAGGCACCCCACCTCACAGGAGCTACTAGCTCCTCCCCATCAAACCTCCCCCCTCAGATGGGGGCTTCCCCAGGCCAGCTCGGAGGACTGGACTGGGCCTAGGGGCTTCCTCCAAGAAGTTGGGCCCCTTTTGGATGGGGAAGGGCAGTAGGGAGGGTCCCTTCCAGGTTGGGGTGCCATGGGCTACACAGGAACAGACATAGGTCAGGCTAGGACTCTTGCTCGCTCAGGTGTTTTGGTGACTGTCCAGACAGTCCCATGAGTCTTGCCCCAACCTGTCTGTGGTAGAGGCAGGGATGACTTGAAGGCAGCAGTCCCTCTAATAGTAGAGTTCCTGGTCCCACCAGCCTGGGAGAGAAAACAAAGACTGAGTGTTGAGGGGAGAGGGGTCAGGAGGTGGGGCCAGGGTCTCAGAGGTTGTGGCAGTTTGATTTGGAGGTCAAGTGTGAAGGTCAAAGGTCAGACAGCTGCTCTGAGAACATTTGAGCCCCCAACCCCCAGACCTCCAGTCTCCACACTCACTCCCTGGGCAACAGCGAACTCCAAGTTTCCGGATCTCATCATAGACGAAGATGAGGAGGCCAAAGGGCATGGGGACCAGCCACCACTGGAACCTGAAAGCACAGGGGAGATGACAAGGTGAGGGCCATCCCCAGTCTGTGTCCCACATGCCCATCCTTCTGCTCACACCTCAGGACCCCTCACCGAATGGGCATGAAGTTGAAGATGTTGGGCATTCCCGGGCAGTAGCACAGGAAGCAGCCGATGCAGATCTGGAACACGATGGCCAACACCAGGATCTTGTTCCTGCGGTGGCACAGGGTAGAACAGGCTCAGACTGCTGGACTCAGGACAAAGCCTTTAGGAACTGGGGGTCAGATAAGGTACTGGGTCAGAGCAGGTCAGATGCCATTAGCAGCAGGGAGCTGTTCTAAACATTTAACACAGGAGTGGTCTGCCCCTCCGCAACAGTGCTGGCCTATCAGCATCATCCCTTCAGTTGATGAAACATGGAGGGGCCAGTTGAAAGGCACATGGTGGGAGCTACTGACCAGCTATCGATAAGGAATATTAGCACCTGGCACATCTGTACATTCGGTGCTGGTGTTTGCTGACTGCAGTAAGCCCTGGTCAGGACCTGATGGAAGTTGGGACTAGGGCTTAAGGACAGGGCTGGGGACACCTGAAGAAGCCCTGCTGGAAGGCAGAGAGGCGGCGTGTCTTTCGAATGAGAACGTCAGCGATCTGGCACATCTCGATGCTGATGAAGAACACGGTGTAGCAAGTGTACTGCTGGTACAGGCGCTGCCCAAATGTCTGGAACGGGGAACAAAAGCAGCCTGAGCCCAAAGGGAGAGCCTCTGCACAGCCTGGTACTCAGGGGCTGGGGCCAGGGACCCTTAACTGCCCTTTCCCCTGCATCAGAGCCTACGATGGGAGGAAAGGAGAGGCACAGGATCTGCTAGGTTTGTAGGTCCCCACAGTGTGAGGCGCAGAAACGGTCTAGCAGAACTTGGGTGTCAGTGCATGGGTAGGTGACAGGTCATCCAATTGCTTTCATAATGAAAGAAGGAAGGGAGAATTTCCTGGCACCCGAAGTAAGGGACCAAGGGAAAAAGAAGTGGAATCCCACGGCAGGATTTGCAAAGTCCTGTGATTCCAGGGCCCAGGCAGATGGCAAATATAAGTGAAGTGGACCAGGTAGGCCTATGGGGAACAGCACTTAAAGGGGCAGTCACTATTCAGTTCATTTCTTCAATATAACTTTTTAATACCAGCTCATTGTGTGGGGAACACTTCCTATGCTGCAGGTACCAAGTGTTTCACATGTTTTATCTCATTTAATCCAATATTCCCATGAGGTAGATTGGTGGTACTCAAACTTCAGTGTGCACCAGAGCCCCAGAAGGGCTGGTTAAAACAGATTCCAGGCCTGCCCCCAAAGTTTCTGACCCCAGACATCTGAGGTAGGAGCTGATCATTTGCATTTCAAATAAGTTCCTATGTGATGCTGATGCTGCTGATCTAGGGGCCACACTGAACATCACTGAGGTAGACATCAGTGTTCTCTCCACTTAGGAGGTGAGAAAATGGGCACAGTGAGTCAAAGCAACTTGCCCAGGGTTACACCACAGTGAGGAACATGGTATACTATATGAATCTAATGCAGTCTGGCTCCTAAGGTCTACATTCTTAACCATGGCAGTAAATGTTTAAGGGAAATAACCTGATCTGTAACTCTACAGGACAAGCTAAACACACCTGCCAATCAGGTCTGACCTCTGTGCTCCAGACAGACCTTCATTAAAGTCAGCCACAAATGCATATGCACTGTGTTAGTGCTACAGGAAAAATAACAGAATAGGGGCCTGGTTCCACACCTGAGATGGTGTGTTACTGTCAGGGCAGGGAGAGGACCCATCTGCAGCTGGGATCATCAGAAGCAAGAGTTTAGAGCAAGATACAGTAAAGAAAGGCCCTCTGCCCCAGAACTCGCAGGGAATCTGGGTGTCTGGGATGCTCTGGCTGAGCTCAGTTTGCATGTGTACCACACACTAGATTGGCGGCATTGGAAATAAGGGAGTCATGGGACTCACCCACTCCTGGCCATAGCTGTCCTGCAGATCTTGTAGGTGGTGGTTCTCCCATTGTGGCCGCAGCCCCACGCACAGCAGTGGGAACCAGCCCTCCTGGGCCATGGCTGTGAAGTAGTCAGTGAAGCCAGCAAATGACTGGATGGCACCTGGGAGGGGTAGGGAGACAGATGGAAACACAGAGTCAGGGACACAGAGAGATAGGGACACAGAAATGATGACATGAGAATGACAGGAGCAGACATGGAGAGACAGACACAGAGACAAGGCCCCAGGAGATGGACAAGGACACTAAAGACAGCACAGAGAGTGACAGAGACATCAGAAAACTCAAAATTGCCAGAAGAAGGCAACAACCCAGAGACAGGATCATAGAGAACAGAGGCAGAGAAGGGACACAGGGGATCATAGAAACCATTATGTACAGATAAAACTCAGAAGGACAGAGACCCAGAATCAAATGCAGACACCAAAATCCAGAACAAGCCAGAGCCTCAGAGACCTCAAGGCACGTGAGCAGCCCTGCAGGAGAGCCCCAGGCTTCCCAGCCGCATGGGTAACTCACCAATCTGGAAGTAGGAGTAGGCAGCCAGGGGCTCGTTGACTAACCGGTCACGCTTCGGGTTCCGTGGCCGCAGATGCATGATGTCACTCTCAGCCTTCTCATAAGCCAGGGACACAGATGGGAACTGTCCAGAAGCAGAAGCAACCTGGGTTAAGGGTTTTCCTGGGCCCCAGTCCCCTACTCTCTGGAGCTCTCCTCTCCCTTGCGGGTGAGCAGGGATAGGACTGAGGTTAGGAGGTAAGACCTGCAGTGACTACACAGCCACACCTGCCTGAACAGCCTGGGTCCAGCTGGCCCCTGTCAGGAGTGTTGGCATATCTACTCCACATATGTCCTGCTGTCCGTCTCTATCAGAACATCTATCTGCATTTGCATAGTCTCTCCCCATTTCTGTATCTGTCTCCTCCCTTGCTGCTGCCTCCTCCTTCTCTGTCTCTGTTTTTTACTCTGGGGTACTCTAGTCTTGGGCCTCTCTCTTTTTTTCTCTTACTTTGTTTCTTTGTCCCCGTCTCTGGTATCTTTCTCTGTGACTATGTCTCTGCTTTTGTGACTCTGTGTCCCTGCTTCTATGTCTGTCACTATCTTTGTTTCTCTGTATCCAGGGGTGGGGAATGTCCAGCCCATGGCCATATGAGGCCCACAAAATCATTTGGTCTGGCCCTGCCAAGGCAACCTTATGCAGGACTCAAAATCCAATAAGTCTAGGAGCTTTTTTCATAGCAACATAACTTGTATTAAGTAGATTATATTAAGCAAATAATGTTATAAATATCCAAATGGATCTTGGCAGGAAAAAAACATGCTCCACCCCATATGTGTGTGACTACAGAGTGGCAGCAGGGTGTACTGATCAAGAGCACAGGCTCTGGGGCATCTGACTGCCTGGCCTCATATCCCAGCTGTGCCACTTATTAGCTGTGTAACCTGGGGCAAGTTACTCAACCTACCTATGCCCAGTGAGCTCATCAGTAAAACAAGGGTGATAAATAAAGCCCATGTCATAGAGTGGCTATGAGGACAAAAGTAAATTAATGTGTGCCTCGTCCAGACTAGGCACTATGTAAGTTGTTGAATAAACATGTCAATATGGCCAGCCTCTGGCTACATTTGTGGCTCTTTCATATCTATCGACCTGAATCTATCTGATGGTATTTATTTGCCCATACCTATTGAGAGATGTCTGTCTATGATCCAAGTTTAGGCAGACATCTGTATCTGTTAATAGTTTTGTTTATCTGAGTATTTGTATCTGAGTCCATGTGTGTCCATGGGTTATGTCCATGGGTTTTGTCCATACCTACCTAAGCATTTACCTGTGTATAGATCTGTCTGTGTCTACCTTCCTGCCTGTCTATCTCCAAGAGTGAATGTGGTGGTCTCTACCCATCATGTCTAACTATGGGCATACGTCTATGGCTATGTGTGGGAGGAGGCATGGGGCTATAGACTCACAATGTCAGTGCAGAGTTCTATGAAGAGGATAGTGATGCACCCGAGGGGCAAGGGCACACTGACAGTGATGTAAATGAGGTATGGCGTCAGTTCAGGGATGTTCTTGGTCAATGTGTAAGCGATGGACTTCTTCAGATTGTCGAAGATCAGTCGGCCTATGGGAGTACAGTAGACACCTCAGCCTCCTCGCAGAACACTTCCTCCTGTGCCCACACTGCCTGCCCCTATCCCTGACCCAGCCCGGACCCTGCTCCACGCCCGTCACAATGGAGGCAAAATTGTCATCCAGCAGGATCATGTCGGCTGCATTTTTGGCAGCATCTGAGCCAGCAATGCCCATGGCCACACCAATGTCTGCCTTCTTCAGGGCTGGGGAGTCGTTGACACCATCCCCTGTCACAGCCACGATTGCACCCTGCAGGGAATGGGTGGAGGTGGGCAGGTGGTCAGTGAAAGGCCAGCCCAGGGCCAGCCCAGCCCTTCTGCCCACCTCCATCAGCAAGGTCGCACCAGTCGCTGGCAGCTCTCCACAATCACTAGCTTCTGCTGGGGACTCGTACGAGCAAACACCATCTCAGGGTGGGTGCGCAGCACCTCAACCAGCTCTGATGGGTCCATGTCCTTCAGCTGCATGCCATTGATCACACAGGCACGGGCATCCCTGGGGAGGAAGGTGGGAGGGCATCACTGGGCCCTCAGTCTGGGTAGGGCATGGGAAGATCCATGAGAAGGGCTGAAGGGGGCTTACTTCCGATTAACCTGCTCTACAGGCACACGGAGACGAGCAGCGATGTCCTCCACTGTCTCACTGCCTTCAGAGATGATGCCCACACTGGCCGCAATAGCCTTGGCTGTGATGGGGTGGTCACCTGTCACCATAATCACCTGTGGGAAGGACCAGCAGACCCTTGACTCCTTCATATCAGCCCATTCTTGCTGTCTTTCCTAGTGATATACTCATTCATTTATTCAACCAATTGTGACCACCTGCTATGTGCCTTGGAAGTAGCACAGACAAAACAGACAAAAATCCCTGTCTTCGTGGAGTGACATTCTGGTGTGAGAGACAGAACATTTTTTAATTAGAAATGAATGATATAGCATGTTAAAAGGAGGGGGAATTAAACTGGGCAAAGGGGATGGCAAGTGTTGGGTAAAAAAAAGGGGGTGGTGGTGGTGGTTCAATTTTAAGTGTGTCCAGAGAAAGCCTCATCAAGAAGGTGACATTTGAGCAGACACATGAAAGAGGTGAGAGTTGGCCACATAGAAATCTGGGGGAAGAGTGTTTCTGGCAAAGGAAACAGCCAGTGCAAAATGAGAGAGGTGAGAACATGGCTGAACTATTGGAGGAACAACAGGCAGGCCAAGATGACTGGAGAGGAGTGAACAAGAGGTAGAAAACTAAGGAATGGGCTTCGAAAAGTAACTGTGCTCAGGTCTACAGGGTTTTCCAGACCATGGGAAAGACTTGGGAGTGATGCTTGCTCAGCATTGGCTCTCCCGCCCTTGTTTTGTCTTTGGGGAATCACTCCTCCCCCCAGCTTCTAGCTGAGGTCTCTGGCCAAGGTATTCTATCCCCCAGCCACAGTGACTGCTCAGGGATGAACATGTGACCCAGTCTAGTGCAACTGCAAAAGAGGCACAGAAAGAGTGGGCGGCTAAACTTGTAAGTTGGAGCTGCTGGGGGATGGTCATGTTTGTCTACCAAAATGGAGGGACTGCTTGAGAATAAAGCCAGCAGAGAGAAAAGGAGAGCTGGCACGTGAAGGCAAATTCCTAATGACACTGAACACTTGCATGCAGCTATATCTGAAGCTTCATTCCCCAGAACTTTTAGTTTCATGAACCAATATATTCCCTTTTTGATTCAAGCTATTTTCAGATAACACAGGGTTCCTCATCCCCAAATACTGTCATCTTCCGTTCTTGCCCCTGTCTGGTCCTTTCCCAAGTGGCATACCCGAATGCCTGCTGTGCGGCACTTGAGCACAGCATCAGGGACAGTGGCCCGGGGCGGGTCTATCATGGACACAAGTCCCGCAAAGCACAGACCACTGGTTGGAAAGTTCATGGCCTCCACGTCAAAGGCATAGCCAGGCGGGTAGTCCTTCTCACTCAGGTAGAGCTGGCAGAAGCCTGATCAGAAAATAGGAGAAGTCAGAGAAAGAGTCCTGAGTGGACCCTTTGGTAGCAAGGCCAGGCCCCTTGCACCAAGCACCCGTGATGCCTGACCCTGAGCTGCACCCTTCATTCACATTATCTGAATCCATCCTCACACCCACCCTGTGAGCCTACTAGGATCCTCCTCTTGCAGATGAAAAAACAGGCTTAGATAGGGGACAATTCCTCCCAGTCATTGCACAGCAAGTGAAATGAAAACTCCAGAATTAGACCATAGGTCTGTGCCTTCCAGGGCCGAGGAAGGGGTTAGGAAAGTTTAAGGAGTCAGGACAGAATTGGGGGAGGTCAGAGGTCAGGACAAGGATTGGGGAAAGTCTTGAGCTGAGGCAGGGATTGGGGAAGGTCAAAGGGTCAAGAGGAGGACTCTGAAAGGTGGAGGTGAAAGCAAAGGCAGATCATCAATTGGGGCAAGAGCTAGGAAAACCAATGGGTCAAAGGTCGGGTCAAGATAGGGAAGGTCCAAGTGAGGACAGGTCTGGAGAGGCTGAGTCAAGGTAGGAATTGGGCATAGGCAGAGATCAGGAATGAAATAGGGGAAAACAAAGGTGAGTGTGTAGACTGGGGCAGGTCAGCAGTCAGCCAGGAAAGGGCAGGGAGGATTGGCCTCGCTCTGTGCTAGCTTCTTGCATACCAGTTTCCCCCTCACTACCCCACCCTGACCGTCTCACCCAGCACGCGCTCGCCCAGGCCTCCCAGGCTGAGGTAGGCCGTCTGGAAGGCCTCACGCCATTGCTCGTCCAGGGGCAGCTCCTGGCCCTTGATGAGGATGGAGCTACAGCGCTCCAGCACACGCTCAGGGGCGCCCTTCATCACCAACACGTGCCGCGGGTCCCGCGGGTCCTCCAGGGTGTGGATGGACAGCTGTGGGCGATCAGCGGTGTAGTGGGCCAGGTGGAGAGGGAAGGGGGTGGAGCTGACCGAAGAGCCTTAGGGTGACTAGGCAGTGATGGCGAAACTATGACACACGAACTCATTTTTTTTGGTTGATTTTCCTTTGTTAAATGGCATTTAAATATATAAAATAAATATCAAAAATATAAATCTTTCTTTTACTATGGTTGCAAATATCAAAAAATTTCTATATGTGACACGGCACCAGACTTAAGTTAGGGTTTTTCAAAATGCTGACACGCTGAGCTCAAAAGGTTCCCCATCGCTGACTGGTAGGGGCTGGGCAGGTCCTCGCTAGAGGCCGAGGTTTGTGGAGGGGCTGTAGTTAGGGGCCTGGGTGCTGGGAATGGACTGATTGAGCCCCGGAGTTGGTCCGGCACCTGTCGGAGTCCTGACAGCAAAGAGCAGGTGAAGAGCCCGCGGCTAAGGGCTGGGCGTGGCCTGGCCATCGGTGGGCTTTGGAGGTGGGCGAGAAGGGGGCCGGGCGAGAGGGAGGAGACAGCTCAGCCCGGCCGCAGGCCAGCCCTGAATGTGGGTGGAGACTACAGTGAGCCGGGCTTGCTGTGGGCGGGCTGGCAGTGGGGGCCGGCTAGGGTGGGCTCGCACCTGGAACTTGTTGGTGGAGTTGAAGGGGATCTCGCAGACTTTGGGGAAGCGTTCTCGGTAGCCCATGGCGTTGCCCAGCGTCAGCTCGGAGAACTTCAGCAGCGCCGTCTCTGATGCGTCCCCGATCACGATGCGCTGGGAGCGGAGGGCGTCAGGTGCGCGCCGGGCTGTCCCAGGCTCCAGGCTCCCCTTATCCCCCAAATCCCCCGGCTCTCACCTTTGGCACGGGCACCGCGTCCTGGCCCGACTTGAAGGCAGCTCGGTTGCACAGGGTGAGCACGCGGCACAGCGCCCGCCATGTCTCCGAGGACTGGTCAAACGTTTGCCCTGGAGGACAGATGTCCAGGCTGGGGCCGCGAGGCAACTACACCAGACTATACCAGACACAGAGCGGCGCTCTCCCACATCACAACCGAACCTCCCTCCCCCAATTTAGGACAGGATTCCCCTCTCCAGACCTGTGTGGGACCCAAACTCTCCCTCATACCCCAAGACTGAGCCTTCTCTTCAGACCCAGTGTGGAGTCTCCTTTGAGAGTCCCCTGAGACTCCATACCAAGCCCCGCCCTCTGGGCCCATCTGGATGGAGTTCCTCTCCATGAATGCATAGCCCTCCCAGATTCTCTTCAGTAACCTCCGAGCTCCCAAGACTCCCTCATGCTCCAGGCCCTGTCTCTTCGAACTCCCAAACCTGACTGGTCTTCTGTGGTGTCAGCTGAGTGGATGTGGTTGTCGAACCACAGATGGGACACAGTCATGCGGTTCTGAGTGAGGGTCCCGGTCTTGTCAGAGCAGATCACTGACGTGGAGCCCAGTGTCTCCACTGCTTCCAGGTTCTTGACTACACAGTTCTTGCTGGCCAGCCTCTTGGCTGTCAGAGACAGGCAGACCTGGGTGAAGGTGAGAAAAGCCACCTGGAGACCAGTCTTTGCTTCCAGGCCCACTTCCCTCCTCTTGGCATTGGGGATCCCTTACCCCAGCCACAGTACTGATTATGCAGCATTCCCCCACAAAACCCAGGCTTTCTCTTGCCTACACCCTTTTGTTCAACCTGTGCTTCCTACTTGGGATGCCTCCCTAATTCACCCAGACAAACAGAGCCAGGCCCCTCTGTAAGCTGCCCTAGCCGGGGTTCTGTAAGTTCACTTATCAACACAATTAAAATGAAAAATGTGGCCAGTGTGGTTCAGAACATTGGCCTGTGCACTGGAGGGTCACAGGTTCAATTCACAGTCAAGAGCATGCACCTGGGATGCATGTTCGATTCCCCAGCAGCAGTCAATGCAGGAGGCAACCAATTGACACATCAATGTTTCTCTCTCTCTCTCTCCCCCCAACCCCCATATTTCTCTCCTCTTCCTTCCACTCTAAAGCAATGGGAAAAAATATATACTCAGATGAGGATTAACAAATCAACAAAATAAGAAAATGAACATTCCCTCAGCCTCCTCTGAACTGACTGTTGAAGGTTGTCTACACCCTCAAGCCTCAGCCTCCTTCAGTCAAGGACCTGCCTTTTCATCTGAGTCCTTAGCATGTGGCACAGGACATGGCCCACAGAAGCCTCCAAATGTTTGCTGACTGGATGGATAGGTGGAGGGATGTGGGATGGGAGGGAAAGATGGATGATGAGAAGATGGGTGGGAGGATGGGAGGTGAATAAATAGATAGGAAGATGGGAGATGGTGGAGGGAAGCCTGGATGAATGGACAGATGGACCGCCCTTCTGCCTCCCCAACTCACCGTGACAGTGGCCAGCAGCCCCTCCGGTACATAGGCTACCACAATGGCCATGAAAAAGACCATGGCCCGCAGGAAGGTGTAGCCAATGCACATGGCCACCACAAAAAATGTGGCACCAAAGAGGATGGCTAAGCCTGCAATGATGTCCACAAAATGTTCAATCTCGATAGCGATGGGTGTTTTCTCATTTTCTACTCCAGATGCCAGTGATGCAATGCGCCCAATGATGGTACGGTCACCCGTGTTCACCACCAGGCCCTGTGCTGTGCCTGCAGTGGGGCCAAGAGGGTGACTCAGGGCTGGGAGGGCAGCAGTGGGGCGTGCACAGCAGCGTGAACTGAAGCAGGGGGCTGTAATGTAAGGCAGTGGAGGCAGTGTGACCTGGGAAGAGAGTAGCAATAACAGGAGCTAGAGAGGTAGTATGACTTAAAGAGGTGGCGGTCATGTGAAATGGGAGGCAGTGTGTCTCAGAAGGTAGCAGAAGAAGGGCAATGGAGGTAGGGATAGGGAGTGCTGAGGTAGCGTGGTCAGCTGGGTGGGCAGGCAAGGGCCTCACGGACCCTCGAGGCACATGGTAGAGAAGAAGGCGATGTTGCGGGTCTCCAGTGGGCTCTCGTGTGTACACTCAGGGGAGCGGGTCTGTGGCTCCGACTCTCCCGTCAGCGAGGAGTTGTCCACCTTGCAGCCCTGGGCTTGGAGGATGCGGATGTCAGCAGGCACTCGGTCGCCACCTTTCATCTCCACCAGATCACCCACCACAAGCTGATCTGCATTGATCTGGAACTTGTCCCCATCTCGGATCACAGTTGCTTGCTGTGGGGCAGGGGCACCAGAGTTGTGGATAACGGGTGAGATGGGAAGTTACTGAGTGCAATGGAGTTGTGGGGAGGTGAACAGAGGGTGAGTTGAGGACCTATAGGGACAGATGGAGGCCAAAGGCAAAGGGCAGGCTGGGCCTAAAGGGAGGAGCCACACAGATGCCAGGAGCCTGCCTGCGCTGGTGTGGAGTCTCTAGAATCTGAAGTGGTAAAGGGCTGTGGGACCCACCTGGGGCACAAGGTTCTTGAAGCTGGCGATGATGTTGGTGCTCTTAAATTCCTGATAGTAGCCGAAGCAGCCGGTGACCACAACCACAGCAATGAGAGCCAGTGCCAAGTACAGCTGGGGGCGGAGGTGAGGGAGTCAGCTTATGAGTAGAGGCTGGAAGCTCCCAGTACAAGGCCACCGGTCTGTACCCTGGTCCCCTGGTGTTCTTAGGGTACTTCCACCAGGATTTTCCCCACCTACTAGGAACCCTTATGCACTATTCCCTGTGGCTTTTGTCTCCTAGCCTCATATTCCTCATATCCACCTTAAACGGCCCCAAATTCTCATTGTCTTGTGTATCCCATATTCTCTGGCCCCTGAATCCTAGGTCTCTCATGTCCCCATAGCCTATGGCTTGTGCTCCATGTCACCAAGTACCTTGGTCATATGGGTCCCCTTTTCCTGTGTTCTCCAATCTTGCATTCCACATGTCCTCTGCCATGTGTCTCCTCACAGTCCCACAGCCTATATTTCCTGTGCTCCATGTTTCCTATTCTGTTTTCATAATCTGCCTGGCATCACCTGTGTCCTCTGGGCACAATAGTTCCTGTGGCCCGTGGCCCGTATCCATGTGTCTGTGTGCTATCAATCTTCTGCTTCATATTCTGTGAACTTCACGATCAAGAGTCTCAGGTTTCAAATTCCAAGTTTCTATGTCCAGTGTCTTCCATGTCTATGTAATTCTGAGTCCCCACCCTATGTCACATTCAATGTCACATGTCCCTAAATCTCCATGTCTCTTGTTCTGACGCCTGTCATATATCTCATGGCCTCTTGTCCTCCATCTCGATAGTCTCTGTGTCTGTGTTTCCCTGTCTGATGTCTTATGTCTCTCCATGTACTGTGTCTTGAGTCTTTTCTCCCTTATTCCCAATGTCCCCTGTGCCCTCTGTCCTTGATCTGTCCCATGTCCTCCATTTCCCCAGCCCCAACTTTTAAGTATTGCATTTCGTTGCCTTTGTATCCCCACCTATGTCCTCCACATCTGAGACACATTATCTGCTGTGTCTCCTGTGATCTTGGGTCTGTTGATCCCCACCTCCATGAGCATGTCTTGGAGCTGCATTTCTGTGTCTCTGCATCCCCACCCTATGTCCCTGGTGTCCTGAGTCTCATGCTTAATGTTCTCTGTCCTCCAAGACCCCCGTGTCCAGTGTCTGTCCCCCTAGTATCCGACACTCACATTGTCGTCAGTGGTGAGGTCACCCTCACTGGCTTGGATGCCGAAGGCAATGAGGCAGATGGCAGCAGCCACCCACATGAGGCACTGCAGACCACCTGCCAACTGCCGTGCGAACTTGACGTACTCTGGGGTACCCTTTGGTGGCCGCAGCGCGTTGGGCCCATCCCGCAGCAGCAGCTCCGCAGCCAAGCTGGCAGACAGGCCCTGGGGACAGGGTGGGGTGGCAGTGGCTGCTAAGGGCTTTCCTCTCCCCATACATTCTTCTGTCTCTCCACCCACTGTTTACCTCCCTCTGCCCCCCCATCTGCCTTTTGCCCCTTTCTTTCTTCCTTTCTTCCTTTCTCCCTTTCTCCCTTTCTTTCTTTCTTTCTTTCTTTCTTTCTTTCTTTCTTTTTTTCTTTCTTTCACTTTCTTTCTTTCTT